GGCAAAGGTTTTTCAAAATGTGAGGTGTAGACATCCAGACTGCCCTTCTCCTTCCATCTCCCCTGCCCCACCCCACAGCCAGGGGCAGGGTCCTTACCTGCCACAGTCCCTGGAGATGGGGGATGAGTGGCACCGGGACTTAACTCCCAGAACTTTCAACCTCACAACAAACTTCTTCTGGGGACTAAAAGACTCGGGGCAGCAGAGCTCAAAGCAAGGCCAGTAGATGCAGTTGGGACCACACAGGCGGGTCCGGTTCAGGGGCAGGATGGTGTCATCGTCACAACACTTCTGCAAGGGGTTGTAGATGTGGTCCCCACATCTGGGCGCTGGCTGGCACAGCCATGGGCCAGTATCTGGAAGAGACAAAACTGGGTTAGCTTCCAGGACCAGCCTAGTACCTGCCCCCGCGTCCATAGAGCCATCTCCCCCCTCCTCACCCGACCTGTTCTCACCTGTGACTCCTGAGGGTGTTGAGCCCAGGAGTTCAGACATGAAGACAGCAGCTGAGAATAAAAGGGAAAGTAAAGTGACTCTGGGGGTGTAGCCAACTGGCTGTGATAGGGGCCAAAAGATGATGTCACTGAGCTTCTTGGGTGACGGTAATGGCTGAGTGGATTTTGAGACGGACTGTAGGGTCAGGTCAGGGCTGGCAGGTGAGGAAATGCAGGGGGGCTCTAGAAAGAGTGAGGCCTCTGAAGTTTGCAGGTGGACAGAGGTTGCAGTGCAGTCAGGAAAGACAGGGGTGATTGCCAGGTGGAAAGCTGAGAACTGAATACAGAGGAGAGAACTGAGTTTGAGGTTCAGAGGAACAAAGGGCTGAGAGAACACTTAGGCTCAACTTGGGGCTGGAGTCTCCTTACCCAAGATTAAGGGCAGCATGGTTCTGCTTCGGCTGCAGAGCAGGGGGAGGCAGAGCAGCAGAGGAACTATGTGGGACCTTGGGCTGTGGCTTATAAAGGGAGTAATGAAATGTGCCTAGGGAGGAGTCCAAGTGGTGGCCCATCCATCTTGAATTGCAACAGAGGCAGTGCCTTGTGGGAAGAGCTGGGCCAAGGATCAGCATTTGAAACCACCTATCAGTTAGATTTATTTAAAAGGTATTTTATTTGGGGAAGTTCCAAAATAAGTTGTATTGTTTTGTATTTCAAATTGTACTTGTTTATTGCTAGTTTGTAGGGAAGCAATTGTCTTTTGTCTATTAGTCTTATATTCTACAACCTTGCTATAATCACTTCTTAGTTCCAGTAGGGTTTTTTGGAGTTTTTGTTTGTTTTTGTTAGTTCTGTTTAATTTTACACATACAAAAGCATGTCATCTGTGAAAACTACAGTCTTATTTCTTCCTTCCCTGGAGAACATTCCAGATCCAAACTATAGCACTCATCCCCAGATGGTTCATGTCCATCTCACAATGCAAAATGCATTTATTCTATTCCCAGAGTCTTCAAGTTTTGACTGTTCTTTCGTTGCTCAAAATTCCAAGCCCAAAGCCTCCTCTGAGACTGAAGACAAACTCAGCTGTGAGTGCCTTTAAAAGCCAAAAATAAAGTGACATTCTTCCAGGGTACAATGATGGGACAGACAGAGGGTGAACATTCCCATTTCAAACGTGAGGAATGGTAAGATGGGATTGGACCAAAATAAAACCAAAAATCAACAGGCCCAACATTAAATCTTCATGCTCCACATCTGCCCTCTGGGGCACACTGTGGAATTGGTACTAGAGTCCTGGACCAGAGGCCCAACTCTGGGGCTCCCAACAAATTGCATCTGGCCACTCACCATAAACTCTACATGGAAGAAGTAGTGGCAAAAAGCAAAAAGGAAACTTTATTTAGTGTAGCTACACCAGGAAGACAAGGGGAACTGCACACTTAGCTCCTTCTTTGAGAAAATGTCAATGACTCTAAGGTTTTACAGAAAGAGAAATGGGGGCAAGTGTTGGGGTTCTGTGTACCTGGAAGTTGCACAGCTGGAAAAGCAGGTAATCAATCTTTGTCAGGCATGGTCCAGTCTGTCATTATGCCACAATGGTCCAGCAGTGCTGTTGCCTGCAGAGGATAATTTCCACTCATCACAAGACGCTTATCAATCAGACCCGTTATCAATCAGACACATTATTCCTGGAATCCAATGACTCAAACAAAGCAAAGGGAACAGATGCAAAACGGAAGCAGAGATGCCAAGATTATTATCCTTTATCTTTTTAGCTACCCAATGGACATTTTCAGTCCTAAGTGAAGAGTCTGAGTCCTGTGCAGCAGGAGGTGGGCTCCCAAGGGTTTGGCAAGGCTTTTCCCAGTGGTTTTTCTGGTTGCAGTCTACATGGCCACTGTCCTGGGCTGGCGTCCCTCTGCAGACATTCCACATCTGCATCTCTCTCCCTGATGTCTCCAGTGCAGCCTCAGCTTCACTCTCATGGCTCCACTCATCACCAAGGTAGGGATGTTTGCAGGGACTCCCACTCTGGGGCCCACTGCGCCACCTCCCAGGCTTTCATTGAAATCTTGGTGGAAGCCTCCATGACTGTTGCATTCTGCCCACCTGCAAAACTAGCATCTCATGGACTGCATGTCACACGAGCTCTGACACTAGTAGGAGCTGAACCTGGGTCCATTTGACCCACAGCCACAGTGCCCTGTGAATTCCCGGCTGTCTGAACATGAAGAAACAAAATCCCTAGGTGATGTGGGGGTGTGCAAAATGTACTGGGGCTCTTTTCTCAGAAGTCCTTGGCCTGAAAAGTCTTTGAAACAAATTTGCATTTCTACACCTTTGGGCTTTTGATGAGTGCAGTGGCCCTGCTGTTTTCCCCAAAGTGGCCTCCAGCACCCTTCTTATTGTCCCAGGGTAAAGCATTTTGCTCTTTATTGATTCTAGAAACCAAACCCTCCCCTCTTTGGCAACGGTTTTAAACATGCTCCTTCTCTGGCCAAATTATAAATTTTCCAAATCTGTCTGCTCTACTCCCTTCAGCTTTAAATTCTCTTATAAATTTGTCTAAAAGCAGCTATAAATACTATAAGGTCCTTTCTTAACATTAGAATGGCCTTCTTAAGTGACAGCCATCATTTTAAGAAAAAAAGTTTCACTTCCAATCCAAGGGCATTTCTGAGAAAGGCTCACCACTCCCTCATACCAACCCAACCCCTAACCACCCTCATTAGGAGCCACCTGGCTCTGTTTTCCTGAGCCTGCCCCATAAAAGTCCCAGAACCTAAACTGTTTTGCCTCTCTTTGCTATAGAGATGGCCTTTATTTGTCAGCTTTGACAAATAAACTCTCGTGTGTATCTCTGCCTGGTCTCTGTCTTTTATTTCTCACTTATCCGTCTCTCATTCCTCATTTTCCCTTCTAATTCTCATGCCACTGTCTGAATATTTTGCTGATTTGAAATTTCCTCCAGCAGATAAATTTATCCATCAACATTAAACTCAGCCTCCTACAAAATCTCAGGGAATGAACAAAATGCATTCAAATTTTTTGCCATGGTGTAGCAAGGATGGCCTCTAGTCCCCTCTTCAATCTGAAACCTCATCAGCATAGTCTTTATTGTCCACATTCTTTTTTTTTTTTTTTGATGACAGTTACCTTTATTCACTCAATGCCTGAAAATGCATCTGCTTACAGACCCCAGAATAAAGAGTGCCTCTGAGCATGTTTTTGTTTTTTTAAAGCAGCATTAGAGACATCTGACTGCTCACAGAGTAATCCCGAGAATCCCAGGTACAGTGATGGATACGATGGGAACAACAAGCTTTGAGAATTCACATCATGTAAAAATAGACACATGCAGCAGGGAGTGGGTGGGGTCCCCTAGTGAGGAGCCCAGGCAGCTGGCACCGCCCTGGGCCTTTCCTCCTCGCTGGTGCAGTTCTTGCTGGGTTACTCCAGGCACAAGGGTGCCTGTGACCTGATAAAGACTCTTTAAGTTGTGAAACTGGTCTTTTGTGACACTCCCCAAGAAGGGAAGGGAGACACTCCCATGAAGGCAGCCAGAAGAGCTAGGGGCTTTGATCTGGAGGGTATTTAACTAGGGATGGGAGGGTTGCTTCCCACTGGACATGCAAGTAGAGTGGGGGAACCCTAACGGGATTTGACAACTTCTAATTACATTTTAATTACACACTTAACCATGAAAAAGGTCCCTGTGGCTTTAGGCCAAAAGGCAAAGGATCACCTCTGAGTGACAGTCCTGTTTGGCCACCACTCTGGTTTCTACTGTGTCCTAAGGGCGGTGGGCATGCTGCGGTCACACTGCTGGTCACTTACAAAGCAGGCACCAGTCAGGTCTCAGAACAAGGACAACCCAAAATAGAAAAAAAATGCCCCTTTACAGGCTTTAAGTAACTAGACCTAAGTTCAGTTCAAGGCCCATTTCCTACTGAGCAGTGGTGACTTCCTGTGTTGACTAAGCAGAGAGGAGACCAGGGAACTTTCTGGCTTGGGCTGGGGCGTGGACTCTTGGCATGCTGCAGCTGGGAGACAGGAACCTTGAGCCTTGTGCATCTGTGCTCTCTGCACAGCCCCCTTGGCCCTGTTCTGTGAAAGCAAAGGCATCTGGGGCCTGAGCACAGATGCCTTAGGGAGACTGCTCTAGCTGAGCAGAAACCCTCGTAGGACCTGGAGGAGACGGGGCAACCTGAATGCCCTGCAAGTTCCTACTGGGGAAAGAAGAGCATTAAAATAACCTGGAGGTCTATTTTATTGGCAACTTAGGATGCAAAGTATTTTATCTTTAAACACCTAAAATTTGAAGACAAGATGCCTAGGTTAAATAATGAGGTTCCCAAAGCTGAGTGTGCTCACTTGGAGCTCCATTTTTCTGCTTGAAATACAAAAACAACCCCTAAAGCTCCCAGGTGGAACACAAGTGCCCCATGGCCTGTGACTGGATGAGCTCACGAGTCTCAGTTGGCAACATCCCTTTTTCTCCTTGGCAAGGGCTTGGAAAGCTGGACGCAGGGTCCTGGTCTACTCGGCCAACCCGCTCCCGAACGTCTCCTGGGAGGCTTACACCATGTACAGGAAGCCGTCCTCGTCCTTCTCCCTCTCGTACACCTCCGACACGGGCGTGGACACGCTCACCTTCACCAAGAGGAAGAAGGCCGGGTTTGCGTTGAGGTGCAGGCGCCTCCTGATTATGTTGATGAGCTCGCTCATGTTGACGCGGTGGGGCACAAGGAACTTGATCTTGTCCAGCACAGGCAGCTGCTTCTCACCCTTGTATCTTTCTATTATCACCGGGATCTTGGTGGGATGCTGCTCACGGATGAGTCGCACGTCTTCTACTCTTTGTTGGAAGGTGTGGCGCTGCTTGAAGGTCTTCTCAGATGACATGATGCTGGAGGTCCCGGGCTCGGCGGCTGCGGGTCCGACTCTGGCGACGGTGACCCGCATTCTTACTAGTATTCTGTTCTGAGCTCTCACCAGAATTGCCCAGTGAGCTGTTATTTATTACATTCTAGACTTTTTCTAGCCTGCTCCTCAAAATTTCCAAATTCTTCCTGCAACCAAAGGCTCTTCCACATCATTGGGAATATAACAATAGCAAAGATCATCCCAGTTTCGGGTACCAATGTTCTGTTAGCTTTCTGTTGCCATAACAAATATCTAAGACAACCAACTTAGAAAGAAAAAAAAGAGTACATTTGCTTGAAAGTTTTAGAGATATCATAACACAACTGGTTGGTTCCATTGTTTGGGGGCTTGTGGTGAGATAACTCATTATGACAGAGAAAAACTGTTCTCCTCAGAGCTGGGATGTGAAAGAAAAAGACACTAGAGTCCCACCATTCCCTTTAGGGTCATGCCCCAATGGTCTCCCACTGGCACCAGCTGTTAAATGTTCCACCGCTTCTCAATAATGCCAAACTGGGGTCAAGCCTTTACTACATTGGCCTTTGGGAAACATTCCAGATTCAAACTCTAGATGCAGGACAGAGGCACATTTGTGTACGTGCTCTGCAGGTGGAGTTGGAGGACCAGCCTCACTTCCTTCCTGGAGCCTTAAGACTCACAACAAACTTCTTTTGGATG